CTCGTATCCATAGACCTGTAAATGTATAATCATTCTCGTAGAATGCTCACAAGTGCTTTGCTTGATTTGAATTTATAGACATTCATTATGAATTCAACGAGCTGGAAGATGTTCGATGTCCTCATTACTTGGTTAATTTTTCATTATGTAATGCCATGCTTTGCATTGTATTCTGGAAATGATTATGTAATCAAAGCTGCTGTACCAAGACTTTAATACCTTTTAAATTAAAGCATTCTCTCTTTATCGCTGGATGACGGTTATCTCAACTTCCTTTATAACGAATAATTTATCGAATAAGTCCTTCCTTTCCAAACAGTATGTAGACTGGCTTTCTGGAAATCATCAGTTCGCAGGGATTCTACTGCCTTAGTTCTAATCCATGTATTTTTTTTTTTTTTTTTTTTTTTTTTTTTTTTTTACTTTCTGAATGCAGCGTGGTGGAAATAATCTTAGTAGACATTATAATATTTGATAAATATCTAATGCATATTATGTTTCTCCCTCTTCTATCTCTATCTATCTATGCATTGTTAGCTAGTTCTATTTCTCTGGTATATAAATATACTGCTGGCCATTAAAATTGCAGTTCCAGGGAAGGAATGATCTGACGAGTGTCAAAATTAAATGAAAGGAAGAGGAGGTTGGGATATGCAAATGGATTAGTATTTCAGCCCATTTAGACAACGCAGGAGGGAGAAACGACATCTGAAGATCTGCATAAAAGAAACGTTGTGTAGTACATTTCTAATTCGGAAAGCGCTATGAAAGGTCGACATTTCATATCGTGTATGCTTACCAGCATGTGTTGAAATACGATAGAGGCAGGATCGTTACCTATCGAGATTGTGGATTATCGTTCCGTGATATCGCCTGTCGCAATGGTCAACATCCAACCATTGTCATGCGAATATGGAATCAATGGCTTGCTGAGGGTCATATTGAACAGCATGCAGGATCTCAACTCTCTCCTATGACTAACGCCCGAGAGTACAGACATATTGTGAGGTCAGCCCTGCAAAAGCGTACAACCACATCACGGACCATTAGTCAGGAAATGGGCATTTTTGCAGCAAGCTTAGTATCCGTTTGTACGGTGCGTCGACGTTTACAGCCGCACTAACTATCAACACGAGGACCATTATTTCGGCTTCCCTATAGAGAGAGACGGCGACTCTGGTGCATCGAACAACAAAAGCTGGATACAGGGAGTGGCACAATGTCGTCTTTTCAGATGAATCCTGGCTCTTCGTGCAGTATTTTAATGGCCGTATAAGTGTCTGGAGACTCCGAGAAGACCACACGTTGCCTGCTCCCATTCTATATCGGCCCTGCACATGGCGTAATGGTTTTGGCAGCCATTGGGTGCACGGCACGCACATCTCTAGTTCGGATTGACGGTAATTTGAACGCAGATCGGTACATTTTTACATTTTACGCCCAGTGGTTGTTCCCTATCTTAGAGGCCCACTAAACGCTATCTTCCAGCAAGTGTTGCACGTAGAGTTCTGACCTTCTTCGATACAGAGTAATCAAAAGTGATTACTGTCCTGACCTGCACTGTCTTCCGATCTGTCACCCATTAGAAACATCTGTTCATGGGTTGCTGATAGACTGACCTGCCACCCTTCTCCAGCTAATGAAATGCAGCATAGACTTGAAGCATCATGGAATGAATTGCTCGTTTCTTTCATCCAAGCCCAGTTCAACTCCATGCCTAACCAGGTAAGGGCCATTTTAGATGCCATGAGTGGCAACTGTTTCTACTAATTTCTCACCCCTGTAAACCCCCAAACTTCTTACAAATTTAATCAGTTTATCTTCGTGTCATATTGCTTACGTACAATATATTTTTTGTATTTTCTTTCCTTCATGGTGTTGTAACTTTAATGGCACGCAGTGTTATATTGAAAGATTTCATCTAACGGCCTAAAATTTCTAGTTATCTCGATTGTTTATCTCAGCGATTCTGTGCACAGTTCTTTAACCAAACACATTACTAACTATATTTATTAAAGCTTATGACCCGTAGTTGTAATCCAAAACAGTTTAACGTTTAGAGGAAACTACCCGATAATGTAATAATTTTAGCACAGTTACAAACTGACGCTTTGTGAATTTATATATCCGTTATATACTATATAGTATGATGTTCGTGAAGTAGCACTTCCTAAATTCGCTCACTAGCCTCTCGCTACAAAATATTAATTGAGCACTTTCCACTCAGCTACTTCCTCGGTTAGTTTCTAACTTCCGGCAGGTAGGATGTTATGGACTGCTAAAACACTAATCTAAGCTCAGCTATGCTGCAACTACTCTCATTTTAGAATATAATTAATTCTCTGAGCTACATACCCATACATATATTCCCTGTTCTCTATGTTGTGGTATGTATGAAGCATCTCTCTTCTCCACTTCAGCTATTTTTCATTGCTTACAGGAACAAATTCGGTATAGTTCTAGATCATAAGTTAGAAACTAGAATTGAACTTAAATAAAACTAATTAGCAACATATTAACAGAATCTGCAACTCTAAACTAATCATTTTTACTTAGAACTGAAACTGTTTGTAATTTCTGAATCAAAATGTCTAGTATTCTGACCAATTTCAGTTCTGTTCTTGAAACTTTATGCAAGCTAAATCCAGCATTTTAAATGCTATTATTACGGAGGGACTTTGTTCTTCAGGATTTTCTACATGTGTAACGTGACTATGAGCCAATTTTCCTTAGAAATTCCTTCACTAAAACGTCCCTTCCTTTATGCAGATAGTCCTTTTTCTATACTCAAAATATTTAACCAAACATATCAAACTCATATATGACAAACCATTTTATACATCATATTCTGCATCAATAAGCAGTTATATATTCAATATAATGTTTCTTATGCAATATGATATTGTGTTTTATTGACTGTGTATTCAAACTGATAATAACTTGTACAATTTTAGATGACTTTACTTAAATGTGATACAAATAAATTTGAAGGAAAAATATTTAAGGCTTTTTCTAGATATTTACATTAACAAGATATTCAGATTGAATCATACTGAAGTAAATTACATTATAGATGGTAATAGGTAATAACAACGCAGATGTGTGTATACCAAATCAGAAATCATTAAAATGTTAAGGATTCCATTAGTTCGAAACCACGGATTAAAATGTCAAGTTATCAGAATTCAAGAGTCGCCTAAGTTTACGAAGTCCAGATATTAATTTTTCCATATTACATTTGCACTTTAATGATAAATTACCTTCAGACATTTAGATTAAAATTTAAATCAAGGACCAAAAAAATTCCTTCATGCACTTCTTTAGATGCAAAATATTAATAAAAACAAAATCTCCATCAAAGAAAATAAGTGGATAAAAGTATTTTACGAAAAGAGTTCATTAACTTTTCATTTAGATATCTTTTCAACGCAATATTTCTTAGTCTGTAGTTTTAGATTTTGGAATTAGCTAATGAAACGAGGAGAGTGCATCTACGAGTTCTTGTATAAGGAGAACATTTTATCACGATTTCAAAGAAGTTAAAAAAAATCTATAGAGTAGATTTCTTTATTCATAAAATTCAATCAAGAGTACTTAAAACTGAAAAAACTCCTGGCATTTATTTATAGGCCTTTCTCTTATTTATTTCATCATTTTTATGTTTTATTTTCAGGTAAATTTTTTTAATTCCATTTTTATGGGCTGTGCGTTTTTCTTTGTGAGTTGCGTGTGAAGACTTAACGTCTAAAATATTATTTCATTAGTTAAATAATTTGATATAATACGACCATTATACACTTATCTATATGTCGGGCATTTTAGCTTTATGACAAGAATTATTTATGCTAGAATCATGCGATCATTTATATTAATCTGTAAAACGGAAATAATTTAATATAAATATTCAACTAATGATCAGTAAGCTGGTGATGTCAGAATGATGTGGTCAGCAAGATGCCGAATACAGAGTGGCATCAATTCAAAATAACACAATGCATTCATGTACCCATAACATTAGAAATGGTGAAGGGAAATTAAATAGGAAAACACAGTTTTGCTAAATAACATTCATACAGAGGGCTCTATACATTATAGAACGATTTCGATAAACGAATTTAAAAACGCAAAAGTTTTGAAATGAAGTTATGGCAACAAGTTCTTATTTGAAATGAAAAATATTTTCTGCTCTTTTTAAATTTATTCTTAATTCAAAATGTTTTTTGTAAGCAAGCTATGGATTGAAGGATACGTTTTGGAGCTTTTCAAAGAGAAGTATTTCTATTCCATAATTTAAAAACGTTGTAAAATGCATGGTATTAAAATTATGTAAAATAAGCAACATTTTTAATAGGAAAGGGAAAAGCCGTTAATCATCACTTCTACATGGAAAAAAGCTACCAAATAATTACCACAAAAAGATAAGTACCGTTTCTAATAATTCTAAAATTAAATCATTGGTAACAAGAGAAAATATCGCGCAAACGGTATAGTGGTTAGGGAAGCCTACTGCGGTACAGAAAGGCCTGGGTTCGAATCACGGGGAAGATATGGTTGTTTGTAAATGTATAGTGACCGTGCGGCATGGGGGCACTCTAAATATGCAGCGAGCCGAAAAGTCCTCGCGTGTGGTTTGGTGGAAGGGGATAGCGGTGGGATCATTATTGCAATTTAAAAGAAAACGAAACGATCTGTACCCAAAATTATGGTACTTTTGCTACAACTGAAGTTACTTAAGAAATGTCAACGTCATAAAACCTTTTACGAATAATTTATTAAATAGGCATATGCTTTTTAATATAATGGCTATGATACGTAAGAAGTGTTAATAGAATTTTTTCAGTGGCTTTAATAGATGTTCTTATTACATACATATTGCATAAATTCATTACTAAGTATTTATCATAATATCCGTAGAATTTAAATTATTATATGTCTCTATTTCGAAGATACAATATATCTTCTTGTAACAGTTCCTGATATTAGTGTCTTTTTTACAACAGGCTCCCGACGCCAGCACAGTTCTTTCGGAAGTGACAACATCAACAGAAAGCATCTCAAAAGAATGCGACACTTCTCTAAGTAAGTAAAAAGCACTTTCCTGACCTATCGGAATATTTATTCTCCCTAAGGATAAATGAACACTTTATTTAATAGCATATCATGTCGCTGAAGATAAAGATGAAATCTGATGCATCGTAAATGCTTTTTGCTGTTATTTTTGGAGCCAGTTGTAATAAATCCATAAATATTTGTTTGTTTGTTTTTGAAAATTCTAGAAATGAAGTAAGAGATAACTCTGACAAAAATAAATGTCTGAATGAGGCTTTTTCAATATGAAACCGTGAAGATTCGTAATTAATTTTAAAACCAAGATAAAAGTGAATCCTGAATAATGTTTATGTGTCACGTGGAAAATAACGTGGTGTTTATAGCCAAGAGCGTCGCAGCAATTAAGAGAGCATAGCAATTTTTAAAAACATTCAATATTCTTTTATGTAAAACCTTGGCCACACATGATAGATTTACACGATAAACAGCGTTCTGCAGCACCAATAAACCCCTAAGAAGCAAACTTGCAATGTTATTCTTATAAAAAACCTATTTGGGATTTATATTACATACATTATATTTATATATATTTGGGATTTTATATTAGTAATAAGGTATAGTTAAGCAATAATAATGAAAATATTTCAGGACATTATAACTCCCTCAGCAGTTTTGTGCAGCCCTGACATCAAAATTGCAGGAAGCTGGAAAATGTTATGGGAATTAAAGTTTTTATTAAACATTCGCCAGATAGCATGATGGCCACTCATACCCTGCAATGACTGTTTTATTACAATACGATATTATATCATAAATTCAAACGCTTGATAAATATTAAACATATGTTTATTAAAAATACAGAAAGGTTTCCAAATCTAAACACACTGAAGATTTTTCACCGGATAATAAATTTGCATTCATATTACTCTTTTAGAAAAATGAACATTACAGCTCTTGATTATGTAAGAAACCTGGAAATACTCAAACTAATATACATCACATATAAAAAAATCAAATATGTGAAAATTAAAAGACATACATTACAGTAAATTTTTCACTTAAACATGTAGGATTTCAAAATTAAATCAAAGGCAGAAAAATAAAACTTGCCTACCTGTTTTTTCGTCGGTTTTTTTGCGAAGGCCACTGGAGGATCTTCAGCCTTAATCTAGTAATTCAAAAACAATCAATCCAAATTATCAATAATTCTTTTATACAAAACACGTTTTAGTTTTTAAAATAAAAGAGAAAAGATGGCAATCTGATATCATATGTACACTTTAATATAATAATAACGATTTCATTGAATCCCTGTCTTTTTTTATTTGTTCTAAGTAGATCTCGTACACTGAAAAAGAATATCCTAAGACATCACATTTTTTTATTTAGATGGATGTTTGTATACAATTCGCTATGATCTGGAAAGTATCGTGCTCCGACAAAGTTGAAATTACAGTACTTTTCTTTAATCAGACAAATTTCAGAAATGTATGTATGTATGTACGTGTGCGTTCATGTATGTACGGTATGTGTGTGTGTGTGCGTGCATACAAATACCCCGATTACAGAAAAATATCGAAATAATCTCAATTTAGTGATGACGTAGTTTTGAGACTGCAGAATCGAAGTATTATTACAGGTGTTTCAAGATCTTTTGTTGATGCACTTATATCAACGTTATAGACAGTCTATCTTTAAAGTCCGTAACCAGTGCCTCCCTTCTATATTACCCAGCAAATATCAGTCGAATCCAAATTATTACTTTAGTATATCTAGCTCCACTTCTCTTATGTCTGTTGTTCCTTTTATTTCTTATTGCGAATTCTTTTAATTTGCGTATTTTATTTGTCTCATCATCAGAAAATCTATTGTCGAAGGTTTGTAACTGATAAGGTTAGGATTTAAGCCTACAGCATTTAAATGCATTTTTTCTGCGGAATTTCTCAAATTTGTTTTGTATACATTAGACACTACGGAAGCACAATCTTCATGCTGATAACAAAAGCATTAACAAAGCACATCGGCGCTTTGTTTAACGTTATCATGCGGACGACAAATGCACCGAGATAATTCATCGTCATTTAACTGTATATCAAATGTCGGTTAGAAACTAATTTCAGCACTTACTAAACAATTTACTTCAAACCTTTTGCGAATCTAAACATAGAATTAACACGTCTTGAATGTTTCTTGAACATTCTGGTTGGTAGATTTTCATCCTGTTCTGTTCAGTTGGTAGACACTGGCAAATATCGTTTCGTTTCTGATTTTCTTTATTTTCAATAAACCTATTCTTACTTAAATCATATAATTCTTCACTTATCCTTTCAATGTTTATGACATTATGGATCTCAGATGATAAACTATCTACCACATCTTTGGCACTCACTACAGAATTTGAAAATTTTTTCACATTATATATTTTATTTTTTTCTTTGAAAACATTTGCACAATTTAGGCATTTTTTGTTTGACAATGGGAAGTTTGCTTGGTTTTCTATGGATTGGATCAAATATTTTGCCTTTTTCATGATATCTCGAATGTAGCCAAATGTAAATTTTTCATCTTACTCGTCCCCTGAAGTTCTTCATATTTCTGGCATTGAATCTCGCCTTGGAGTTCAGTTTGTGTCGTGGTAGAACGAGAGAGATGGAAACGCTTTCCATCTACATTAGCAAATAAAACATTAGCAATGCATGAAGTTATTTATTGTGTCTTGAATAAAAGCATCTTCTGATAATTCTTCTGTCAACTGAATGAGAGCCACGATGTATCCTGGAATATGACGCAGATGTTACAAGCTTTTGCAAACATTTGTTGGAGTTGATATTCCTTGAAATGCAGATGATTTTGAAGTGCAATATTTGTCGTCTGAAGAGGATTCTTTATCAAACAGAACTGATTTCTGAAAGTTATTGGAACATAGATCTTAGCTCAAGGATGAAATTTAAGGGCGCTATCATACTCGAGAAATCTCAGTAAAATATCTAATGATCCGCTTTTGAAGAGATATCACTTTCCAAATTTTCTTCCTGGTTTCTTTTCCAGAGCCATTAGACGACGATTTTCATCTTTAATCGATCCTTCAAGGAACATATTCGAATGATCAATATATTTTTTACAGATTTGATGAATAAAGCGTAGATTAATGTTAACGGTTATATTAGATATTAAGAATGTCCACGTGTAACTGTTAAATTACGGTTTTAGAGTTCTATTATTATGGTTCTAGAGTTTCTGTCACAGTTACGAACCTGCGTTCTATCATTTCTCATGATTCCTTCCCAAAAAAGTAAACCACCATCATAAAAACTCGGACTTCTACCGAGATGCGATGGAACACTGTGTGACTCGGGTTTTCTTCAGATAAAAGTACATTCAGAATCACTAAACAAACTGAATTTTGACCCATTTGTGAAGTGTTTAGGCTCAGTCATTTGGCTTCATCTATGATAAAGCTAACAGTATCTTCAAAGCTGTTCTTTAAAAATAGTAATAAGCAGGGCATAATGTAATGGTCTTTTAGCAAAACGATTCAGCTCGTGAAGCGTTCATTAAGGCGTAGGTCTGCCTATTTCTGTACCAATAGATGCTAAGAGGTTCCGAACGAGTTAATTGTCTACAGGTGTGTACCGGTTTCTTTATTTGAACAACGAGAAGTAAAGGTCCTCAGGTGATTCAATTCCTCGCATGATTTTGACCAGCAAGACGATTAACTTTCTCAAAAAGCGTTTCCAGATTCTTCAAGTCTCGTTCTGAAGAAATTTAACTTGCTGGAAACGTTCAGTAGCGTTTAACCTGCCTCGAATCTCAACCACCTGCCAGTTTTAAATTATGTTTTTCACACATAAATAACAACATCTGACCACTTTTCAACGTGTGATTTACTTTTAATCAAGATATGTGCCTGGCTTCGAACATATTTCCTTTTACGAACTGCAAGTGCTTGCCCCGTAGTAGGTTTTTGTGTTTATTAGAATGTAATTCATGAAAATGAAAATTATTGAATTAATTGGCATTTTAATCAGTATTTATAGTTAGATTTTTTTCGCAATTATCGCTTAATTTTGAACATTAACGAATTAATCAAGTCTTCTAAAAGTCTAGAATAATTAAATTTCTGTAAACCAAAAATTATTATCTTCCGCCTATTTCATTAACAAATCAGCGCGTTTAACGAAATGCGCAATTATGACTTTAGTCAGCTTAGCATGACAGAATCGTAAAAATCGAATGATGTAATTTTATCCTGATCTTAAAATCCAGATTAAACTGTATCAGCTTCGTACATAGAGACATTTCATTCCACCTTCATTACGCAGTTTCACTGATTATAGGTACTGTAATTTGAAACATTGGACATCGCAATCATTAAAACATTTTCACCATCCCGCCTATTGTGTGAATTGTATACATTCAGGACTAACAATGAAAGGTATGATTATTATATTTATTGTTATTAAATAAATAGGAGCTATTAAGCAGACAAAAGATGTCTTCTAATGATATTCTGTCATTGTTTCTGCCTGATGTTAATGAAATCTTTCATTACACAAAAGTAGCATTCAAATATTTATTGCCGCAGTCAGTTTTATGTTAAAGAAGAAACTCAGTGTTTCTTGTGCCGTTGTTTCTAATCTAGGCGAATATTATTTTTGAATTTTTCTAGGGAAATCTGAATGTCTAAATTTATTTACACAATTGAATTCCATATACGAGCAGAACTGCAGCCTAGCATTTTAACATTTCCAGACTCGAAGTTTAAAATCCACAAATTTCTCGTTCTGAATACGTCTGAGAATTTATTTAAAGTTTTCGAATTATGTGTATCTTTACTGATGCCGATACATCCCCAAGATTCGTAGTATCTAACCAAATCTGTCTAAATGTAATCTAGACAAAAATCTATTAAAAATGTATTTCTAATTTATCTACATACTAACAAAAGCATACTGATTTAAGACTTGGTGAAATTTAATTTTAAATTAATCTGTTTGGGTCTTAGAGAATTACTCTGTGCAATTCGAGAG